GTTAGTTAGTTAGTTAGTTAGTTAATTGTTTATTGAACATACAATACAACAACAATTGACAAAAGGCAAACAAAATTACAAAAGGAGAAATAAAAATAAAAAGTAAATAAAACAAACATCATCACCGTTATATGCTCAAAGGAGTAGGAAGAAGTATACAACTTATCTAGTCCTACCCCTTGTTGTGTAATAATATAAATAGATCATTTTTCAATGCAAAAGAAAAGGAAGAGATCTACATCTCATCAAGTACTTATGTGTACTGTACTTATATATATATATATATATATATATATATATATATATATATATATATATAAAAATGTATTTTAAAAGTGAATTCAACAAAATGTCAGTTTAATAAGACAGAGGCTTATTATACTGACATTTCAAAGAATATATTCTTTTAAATTATTTTGTGATAATACTCACCGTTAATGTGAATGGTTTTCCGTTCCTCACAATTGCTAAAGATCCAGCAAAGCTTTCGGAATTATGGTCAGTTTGCCGGGTCCATACGCAGAGTTGCTGCTGGCTAGCTTGCACCCTGCTCAGTACCTTGCACGCTTCCTTTCTGCTGTCTCCTGCTGGGTATTTTCATGCGAACGTAGCATGGCGCGTGTCAAAGTGCCGCCTTACATTCGACCGTTTCATCGATGGTATTTTGTCATTGCAAATGAGACACACCGCAGAACCTGTTCTCTCCACAAAGGCGAATCCTTTGGTCCATTCGTCCTGAAGTGTACCATGCTCGTCATCTTTCTTATTCATCGAAGGATTAGCTTTGAGCGCATGACCGAGCGGACTGATTCAAAAGGGGGCGTTTACTTGTTACCCAGCAATGGCCAACGTAGGCCAGTATCATCCAATTAAAATTGCTCCTGCGGCCAACTGCAGCCCTGAACAGGACATGAGCAGTGAAAAATCGATGGATGGATTAAACAAGCGAGAATATTTTGTTTTATCTGCAAGCCAGATGCAATCATCAAAAGAGCCACACCTGGCTCGCGAGCCATCGGTTCCCGACCCCTGGTCTAGTCCAATGTTGACACACGTGACGGTTATCTTGGGACCGTTTAATGAACATGGAGGCCAGCTATATTCCTTCGAAAATCATTTCCAAAATGATTAAATGTACATAAAAAATAACAAAGTGATCAAACTCACTATAGACAGAATATTCACTTTTTACTGCTGCAGATGGCGCACGGGTGTGAACAGCACACCTTTAAGAATCACATGTCAAAATTATACAAGCACCGATAGAGGAACAATGGTTTTCTTTGGTCATTCAACCACAAATGCGGCAGCTTCAATGAAATTTTATAAATCATTCCCTTGGCACATTATTGAGTTTTTATACCGTAACTAAATCTATGGTGTGTGAGACCATTAAGCATATTTGACTGAAGCAAATGTCAACACGTTCCTCAAGCCTGCAGTTGGCAAAGTGTGATCGATGACTCAGAGGAGAAAAGCCAGAAAGCTGGATACACTGCCTCAGTGAACGGAAACACAAACGAGTAGAATGGATAGACTCTATCTGCCACATTGTAGAACGTAGCAGAGCCTGAATCACAATCCAACAACACACCAACACGCTTCGGATGGGGATTCACGACTTTAATCTCGCTGCTGTCGTGCCAAGCCGACAGCTTGACGTTAAACCACTCCACACACCAAGACTTCGCGTTGCGGCCAAGTCGACTGGTCGGACCTTTGCGGTCAATGCTACCGTAAGCCAAACCAATGCCGATGAAGTTGTTGTGATTGAGCCGAACTTCCCAGTAGTGGCAGCCGCGAGTGAAACCCTGAGAGGTGAGCACCTGAGTGCAGACAGAGAAGCGTTGGGGGCAGTCGATGTGCGCCGCGGGATTAAGTTGGTCTGACACAGATGCCCTTGTGAAGTGCTCTGTTAGTACGATGCGTTTGTGTGCTGTCTTTGGATCAAAACTGAGCGCAGCGCCATCTGTTAGCACAGAAGAAAAGAAAGATCATGTTGTTAAAATTACTGTATTCCTCGCTCGCATATCAAATCAAGTGAGCCACAGGTGTCAAACTCAAGGTGCAGGGTGCTAGATCCGGCTTGCCACATCATTCATTCTATGTGGCCATTTTTTCTCACCCATGCCTTTTTAAAACAAATGTAACAATATTTGAACAAGCCATTTTTACTGGCCTCTGATTTCAAAACAAGTTCGGCATTAATTTCTTGTGTGTATGTCGTATAAGGCGATCATACATTTATTTGGGTTCACAGTCATAACAGCCCACTGAAGGAAGCCGTAAACAAGATGTGGCCCATGAGAAATATGTGTTTGACACCTTTGAGGCGGGCAGGCCTGGATGCATATCAACACAGCAGAGCGAGTGAGTCCCCATTTTACTCGAACACTATCCATCCGTTATCGGAACAGCTGATCTTCACGAGGGTTACGGGTGTGCTGGAGCCTTACGCAGCTGTGCTTGGGCAGTTCGAGGTGCTACACCCTGAACTGGTAAATTGTTGAAAACATTGACATCTCCCTGAGACCTTCTTAATACTTTGCATGACTCCACACTTTGATTTATCTGAGAGTGTTTATGTGATTTGGCGAGGGCTGGTGATTTGGCTCTCAAAAGAATCCAAACGGGCTCAACAGTTAGCTATACAGTGGTGCCTCTACTTACGAAATTAATTGGTTCTGGAAGAAATTTCTGAACTTAAATTTTGTAAGTCGAGATGCGTTTTCCATGTAAATGCCCTAAATCGTTCCAAGCCCCCCCAAAATTTCAGACATAAATGTTTTATCAAGCATAAAAATGCATCAACATATGTAACAAAAACATGTCACAATTAGATTGTTGCACAATAAATGAGAGTTGTGCATAATGTAAAAAACAAAGAATAAAGAATAAAAATGATGGTTATTTAACTTTTAATTGCATCCTCATCATTTTTTCGCCCTCTTTAGTTCATGCTCTCTCTCAGAAGTGGTGGTTTTTGCCTGGCGTTTTGGAAAGAACTGATCCAAGGACGTTTGCTTTTGTCAGCTTTTAACAATCCTTCGAAAATGTCCAAGGCAAACATCAGCATAGTGAGCGGTCGCCAGACTGTTGAACACTTCTTCTGAGTGATTCACATTTACGTAAAACTATCGGAACACCTCGTGGAATCACCAGGACTCTGCATCAACACATATCTATCTATCTGCACACACAGAAATGTACGGTAGAGGTCCCTCTTAGCCAATGGGATGCCAGGATGATGCTCGGTAATAGCCAATGGCAGAGCGGCTCTAAGTATGTTGCGTTCAGGAAAATCTGAGCTGCGATTGGCAGCATATACTGTATTTTTACCTTTTGTATCTTGAAATTTCTTTCGTAACAAGAGGCAATATTTTCCTATTGAGGCGTTTCGTAACTTGAAAATTTCGTATGAAGAGACGTTCGTAAGTAGAGGTACCACTTTTTGTGAACAACTTTTTTTTCTGAGGAAAGTAGAGGAGTTGTCTATTTGCGGACCACGCGCAAATGTACAGAGACTGATTGACACATGTTGAGGCCACTATTTTCGGAAGCAAAATAACAATAGTAACATGAATAGGGAAAATAAGAAGATGACATAAATTTTCAAAGACGTACATGCCAGAAGATTGTGTCTATTTTCAGCAGCAAGGTTGGCAGGACGGTCCATCATTTCTAAAGCAAAAATGAGGCAAATATGCAAATGATTAAATTAATATCACATCCATTTACAGGGTTTTACATTAGGCGTAGAAAAAAAAGTAGTGTGTTTCCAGTAACCCGACCGACCGAGAATTTCTACGTCGAAAAAAAGCTTTACGGTCGGCATTTTTTTCAAACAAGCCTCTACATTTTTGTGGAGAGGGTTTACATCGGTGCAAACTCTCGCGATATTCACGTTGAGCGCGTGCGTCGTTTGCCCTGTCGTCTGTCAACAACATTGAAACATGGCGGCGGCCGCGATCTCCGACGACAGTTTAAACCGCGTTTTCTGTGTTACAGTCGTATGCTCCCACCGTAATGTTAAGAAAATAGCATCCATTGATGTATCAAAAAAATTCAGCAAACTATTTGATGAACACCACGGGCCGAGTAAAAACCGAGGGCGGAGGAGGACGGCGGAGTT